ACCTGTGATAAACGATATGGCTTGTTTTGTAGTCAAAAAAATTTGAACTTACTGACTTTTTACTGACAATGGAAGCCCTGAATTAAGTTTTCTAATACTAGGTATATCATTATCATAATATTGCTCATCAATACAGGCCAAAACTGGCCACAATTTCTAGTTGGCTCAAATATTTTTCAGTTGACTTGAATTTGCATGCTCTTCTATTGATTTCTATCACTAATATTTCAGAAAATATAAAGCTTATTTTTGGTAGCTGTATACATTGTTTACCTTTTGTTATCTTGGATATAACCCATATAGAATTCAGTGGGTCATAYATATCTGGACAGACTGATGGTTCACAATCCAATTTGGCCTGAAATTCTCTTTCCTCTTGCAACCAACAATCTTCTCTGGAATTTGAGACAAGTACTGAAAAGTCACAGCTATACCTTGACTTTTTAAAATGTTTGTACTCCACCATGATATGACCTGGAAAAAAAAAGAACTTAAAAATAACTTAGCTGATGGAAGCAATGCTCCATTGGACTGAGATAACAAAAAGGATTAAAATGAAATTCAATTAAGGTAAGATTGTTGTTATACTGTCATACCATGTTTACTTCTTTCTCCAATTTCTATGCATGGTTGCCTGCAATTTGGCTCTGCTTGTGAACAATCTAAGTAATGCAAAACAATGGTTAAAAAATGTTAATTATTTTATAAAACACATTTCCCATTTCTTACCATCACTGTAATCATCAAATCCTCGACTATCAGAAATGCTTTGTACTTCATCCTGTTGGTTACATCATAAATTTAAGCTATGAGTCCTGAAGAAATTTCTCTGCCATTGCATACTCCAAAGAATCCYGGAGAGACAAATGACAYAAATGAGAGAAAAATTGTGGCTTTCCATACTGACCTATACAGAAACTTAGTAAGTCAGTTAGGMAGACACTTATTAATGCTGGTAAATTTAGAGTYAATGCAAATAATATATGAAAGAAACAAAAATAAATAAATAGGTGACAGCTTATGCTAATACCTTTTGTTTTCTATTGCTTAATAAACACTTTTTAGTACTAATTAGCAATATTTGTTTTACAGAWTTAGTGMGCCCATACTATTGACTTGMTGTACATAGTAGTACCTTTGATTCCCCACATTCACTTTCCCTATGATTCTTCATATCTCCATAAACCACATCCTTTCCACATGTCAGACAAACAAGTGTTGGCCGTATATCAAGAGAAACCTAATGAAAAATAWATATAAAAATAACASCATAATTTGAAATATTCAGGTACTGATATACTATATACAGAAGAAGCACTTACATCACTTATCACCGGGCTTAGGTCTAGGTCCTTTTGCAGGGGTCTTACGTATAWAGTTGCTGTGCCAATACAAACACCATCTCTTAGGTATGGAATAGAAAAACCCTCATTGCCAAGTGGCAAAAGTTCCAGACGCCTCTGTCCTCCTCCCCCTCCAATAGCCCGAAGCAGCTCCACGCCCCCTCCATCTTTTATTTTAGGAAATTCTTTGGAAAGCACTGATATAAAACTAGTGTGATCTGCACTTTTGTCTGGAAAAACTATTTTCTTCTTCCCTAGTCCTGCTTGTTGAAGATTATACAGCTCTTCCTTTGATGGTGAGATTTCATCTTTAATGGACCCTAGCACAACAAATGTGTGTGTCCAAGTCTCCCTAGGCTTGAAATATGGATGACTTTTTGGCTTTTTTTTTGGCACCTGNAATCTGTAAGTAACAAGCTGAGGTTGTTCACTGAATGGGTCATCAACCCACAAAAAACGTAGAAAGTCTCTGTCTCCTTCTTGTATTGACACCATCAAGAATGCCTTCTCAATGTCAGCAATGATAGCAGTTTGTTCTAATCTGAATCTAAGAATGATATCAAACAGTTCAGGCGTTAATGATGGTCCAGCATGTAMACAGTCATTAAGGGATGGGCTTTCTCTTTCCTTTGATGAAGCATCATAAACTATTCGCAATTTAGTAGTTTCTTTGTCGTCTCGAAGCACGCAGTGATGTGGTAAGTAATGAATATTGTCTCTCTTGTCGATATCATAAACCCTTTCTATGATACCCTTGTTATACTGATCCTTTATTACTGAATCATATTCCTTGAGRATGTCTCTCTTTGCCTTTAGTCGCAGTAGCAAAGATCTTAATCTTCTTTCACTTTGATAATAGTTRTCAGGTAAGGGCTCGTGAACTTCCTTCCAAGGTAGTGTTACTTCATATCGGTTATTGTTGTAAACAATGGTATCAGTGAATGATTCTAACRCAGGATCTGTGTTAGTGTCTATTCCGATGGACTCTAGATTCCAGAACTTCTCAAGTTTATTGTCAAGTTCATTATCATAATCAGACTTCACGTGATTGTTGCTAACTCTCAGAACATGTGTAGATGTCAAGTTGACTGAGTGAGTACTTGAATGCAAAACACYGGTTACGGGACCTGAGATTGTCCATCCGAATTTAGTTTTCATTGCTACTGGTCCTCCATTTCCTCTTCTGGTCTCTCCACTGACTACGTCCCAGTAGTGATCTGAGCCAATCAAAACATGAACTTCTAAGGTTTCTCCGTCCGTACATAGATTCTCAGATAATGTTAGATCTCTTAGATGTGTATAGTGTTCCTTAGCAAACTTGACTTCCTGATTACACAGAGGAGAACATATTAAAGGTACAACATCAGCAGTGATTACAAGACGTTCCTTTGTTGCAGGGTTGGTTAAACACAGTTTTACGACTTCTACTGTTTGCATATGGTTAGTAGCTTGTCCAAATGCCTTGATTGACTTTTGCTCAGTCGATTCAGTTTTCAGGTTTAATCTCTCTTTAAGTTGTTGAGTGATGTAAGTCCTTTGACTTCCACTGTCCAGCAAGACTCTAACAAGTGTAGTGTTAGTAGCACATTCCACAGAACTTGATGCTTGTGCAATACATGTTTGTAGTAATACTGATGTTTTTAACTTATCTTGTACATACATACTTGTGGAAGTGTTAGGAGATGAAAATACTTGTGAAAACACTCCAGGTTTAGAATCATTTGGATCATTGGGACCACTAGCCCCTTGTTGTTGTTGTGGACACAAGCTGGTGTGATGACGACGAGAACACTTCCTACAACTTCTCTTATCTTTACAATCAGATGCCATATGATTGCGTCTTAGACAGTTAAAACAACGTCCTTGCTTTCTCACAAGTGTCCTTTTTTCTTCTAGAGTATTAATGACTGTACAATCGACTGTCTTATGATCTCCATTGCAAAAAGTGCAATGAATTTTCTGAGGCTCTGTAGTAAATAANTTGATATCAGTGACTGATTTGACTTGTGGTAATGCAATCAATTCATCCATGTGAGAACTTATCAATAACTGTTTATTTCCATACCTTTGTTGAAGAATATCTCTAGCAGACTTGTAATTTGCCGACGTTAGTGACAATCCACTGATAGCGGCCAACGCTGGCCCATCCAAAAGTGATTTCAAGTAATTCATCTTGTCGATTTCGTGTAGAGACGTGTTTGTGTGTACAGCACTATCAAAACAATCAATAAATGGCTGCCATTCAGTGACTTTTCCATTGAATCTTTTCAGTTGTAYCTTGGGAAGTTTCGCTTGATRCGTATTCTTACTAAGATTTGATTGATCGGTTGAATTTGAAGAACTCGCGTTATTCGTTGGCGCRATTGCGACGGTGTGTTGTGATCCTAGTGCTAGATCGATGTCTACGACCATTTTGTGAATTCTTTCTGTAAGAAAGTCCGATTGTTCTATCTCGTCTTCGATTTCTTCATCCTTTAATGACTTCATGATTTCGTTATCTAGTTCCTTTAGAGTAATAAGCTTAGCTTGAACGCTCATTTTCACTTGAGTGAGTGTCGCCACGTGCTCTTGAATGGACGATGGATTTGCAGCGACACCATCGAGTATTTCCTTTGTTTTTGATTCTAATCGTTTGACAGAGCTCRTATGACCGCCTCGAATTCGCTTCTTTGTGACTAGTTCCTGATTTTCGGCCATATTAACGTGCACTTGTTGTCTTGTCGGTGATGTGAAATTTGCTGCCAGCAATCTTGTAGGTGTTGTTGTCGGTGAATCASTTGAATTATCCAGTGTGATTTTGTCTACGARCAACCCTCTAATCCGGCTCGAAGGACCATGTACGATGTTTTTATCAAGAATGTCGATMTAAGGTCAAATCGCAGACGATCGTTGTGTCTTTAACATGTTTAATAACTCAACTGTAGAATTACAACACATCTCTCCCGCTCCAGAATACAGAATATAGAATGTAGAATGCATGTGCTTCCTTGCGCATGCTCAATAACATACAAACACGTACAAATGTTACTAACGGGGGGTGGGTTCCGTACATGGAGAGCGCTTCTGACTCCTACCACACAACCCAGGAAAAGCTCTCCTAGTGAAATACAGTGACATTGATACATTTTTCAGATGTGATTTGCCATATAATTTAGACAGAATCAATACTGGTAGTGATCAGAATAGGCACTACAATTACCAAAAGGCTTTGTTGATTTTTTTTAAATCCAGATTTATTTTAATCCATTTGGAAATTAGTAAAACAAGTGGGACTTAACATCATTACAAAAGAAATTTCAAGCAAAGCATTCCTTACCTGAAGTTTTCATGGGCTCTAGTCTGTAAGTTATATCTGTTGACACTGAAAATTAAAATGATNACAACAATTCCTATGTGGCTTTCTCAATATGCTTTAAAATAAAACCTCATCTTACAGTATTTTCAAATACAACTTTCACTGTGGTTAATGATATTGAGAGTCWTCATCTAAGATTTATCCTAGAAGTACACAAAAAATCAACAAACATTACAATTTATGSAGAACTTGGAAGTCAGCGCCATTTCAAGTTTAGTGGCAAAGTAWTGGATGTCGGTAAATAATTCTTCATTTGAATGTACTCTTGTTATGAATTAAAGCAGCTATATATTGAATGCAAAGGAATCAACAGGGAGTTATTTTTACAAATTATCTTTTTCACATGTGTGAATGCAAATCGGTCAATAATTTAATAGRTCCTTTAGATCAACTACATGAKTTTTGTTAAATTCATAAATCTAAATTACACACTTATGTATGAAAATTGCAATCTTTTTGTCTCATTTGCAAGCTTTCTACATTAAAAATGCTAACATTGACATCCTGCATTGATCTTGATGTATTCAATAAAAGACATGACATACAWTTTGAAYTTTTCAAGCAATTGCTTGAATGATCTCAAGACCAGGACAAGACCAGGCGCCAAGACAACCACAACAGTTTTTTAATGGTATTTCCATTGTTTTGTTAGAGCATTTCAGTCAGCTTAGGCTGCGTTTCAAATTGACGAGGATAAAATCATGCAATTGCATAACTGGACAATATAGTATGTCACCACTACTGAACTACCATAAAATAACATGGTGA